TTTTAAATTTATCTTTTTTATTTAATTACAAAAACATAAAAAAATAATTGCAAGTATTTTTTTGAAAATGTCCAGGTCTCCTTGAGAAATTGTTAATATTAATGGTTACATATTTACAAGTTTTAACTTATCACTTTGATGTGTAAAGGTGGATAGAGCACCATCTGAAAGTAGGCTAGTACTAATAACTGACACTTCTAAAATATGTACATACTCATAGTGAGCACAATTTCAATATTAATATGGGCTGCTCATGTTAGAATTCTGATATTAATATCAGAGATCATCCAAATCTAAATCTGCTTCAAATAGAGGTATATTCAATTTAATTTATACTTGATCCCAACAACTTAGGAACAGATATTATAATAATAATAATAATAAGGCATCTTATTATTATTATATAGCTATTTTTAATTCATATGATTATTATTGCTCAATGTCCAACAATTTGTTATTTCAGATCCCTTCTCAGTCAACTTGTTTAAATGAATTGCCATATTGTTTCAGACAATGACATACAATTTCCCTATGCTTTAATGCATATGCATTACCTGGTTTAATTTCCAGTGATTTGTTCAAATCTTGTAATGACTTGTCATATTGCTTGAGCCATAAATAGACAACTCCCCTATTTCTCAAAGCCCATGCATCAAGTGGTTCAATTTCCAATAATCTGTTGAAATCATTTAATGAATTCTCATACTGTTTAAGGTGACGATAGACAACCCCCCTCTGTCTCAATGCATAAGCATTATTAGGTTCAATGTCTAATGATTTGTTGAAATCATTTAATGCATCATCATACTGTTCTTTATCTAGATAGATGGCACCCCTTCTACTCAATGCATATACATCATTTGGTTTAATCTTCAATGAGGTATTAAAATCATTTAATGAATTGTCATATTCTTTTTTATCTAGATAGACAGCTCCTCTTCCATTCAAGGCATATAGATCATTTGGTTCAATCTCTAATGATCTATTGAAATCAGTTAATGCATGGTCATATTGTTCAAGATTACGATAGACAGCTCCTCTGTGTCTCAGTGTCCATGCATTATTAGGCTCAAGCTCTAATGAATTGTTGAAATCAGTTAATGATTCATTATTCTGATTTTGATCTAGATAAATAGCTCCCCTTCTACTCAATGCCCATGCATTATTTGGCTCAATCTCCAACAATTTGTTGAAATCTATTAATGAATCAGCATACTGTTTCAGGTCTTGATAGACAGCTCCTCTATGTCTCAATGCCCATGTATCATTTGGTTCAATTTCCAATAACTTGCTGAAATCATTTAATGCGTTGTGATATTGCTTTAGTTCTAGATAGACAGCTCCCCTATGTCTCAATGCCCATACATCATTTGGCTCAATATCCAGTGATTTGTTGAAATCTGTTAACGAGTCCTCATACTGCTTTAGGTCTAGATAAATAGCTCCTCTATGCCTCAGCGCATATACATTATCTGGTTCAATTTCCAGCGATTTGTTGAAATCGTTGAGCGCATTTTCATACTGATTTAGACTGTGATCAACAGTGTTATGTCTCAACGTACACGCGTCGTTTGGTTCAATCTCTAATGATTTATCAAACTCATTTAATGAATTGTCATACTGTGTAAGATTGCTTCTCGTCTGTCTCAAAGTATATGCATTATCTAGTACTAGTGAACTGTCATATTGTTTGAGACATAAATAGACTGCTGCTCTATTCCTCAATGCCCAAGCGTCATTCGGTTCAATCTCCAAGGATTTGTTGAAATCATTTAATGCATCACAATATTTCAGCCTCTCATAAACATTTTCGATAAAAGGCCGCTTGTTTGGATCTTGATCCCAACATTCTGAATATAGTTTAATATATTCTTCAGGCGTCCCGGGAAATGAGGGATCGCGACGACCATCGTTTCTATACATAATAATTTTAGCACTATCGGTACGTCCTTCACATGGATATTCTGCGCTAGAGATTTCCCAGAGTATTACTCCAAGACTAAAGATATCCGATTTCTTACCGCGTCTATAATGCTCATCTTTAAAAGATATTGGATCTCTGTATGCTGGAGCACCGTATCCATGTGATTTGGACATTATTTGCTTCAAAATGCTAGATAAACCAAAGTCGGTTATCTTTGCAACACCTGATTGAATAAGAATATTACTGGAAGACTAAATAAAAACGTAACACGTGTAAATCAACTTAAATTAATAATGTGCATCCATCAGGAAATTGGAGAAATGAGATAATTACCAAATCCTTGTGAATGATATCAAGTTCATGCAAATATTTTAACCCATTGGCAATACCTAAGGCTAACTTGTATTTGTCTTTCCAAGTCAAGTCAACGAAGTGTTTCTCCAAGTATTGGCGCAAATTCCCACCATCAGCTAGTTCAAAAATCATATGATACTTATCATATTTTTTGTCTATTGTATAAAAATAGTATAAGTAACGAGCCCTTTGCCAAACGATAGAGACTGCAAATTAGAACATACCCTTGTATAAACCTAGAAACCGAATAATGTTGGGATGTTCGTTCGCTATCCTGTGGTGTCTCAGCTGGCATGTAATGTTCATTTAAAAATTAGTCGATAAGCAAATATGAATATCTGATAAGCTTGACGAATGAAATTTAATAACAACCTCTTCGACAAATCGTTGATGTAAGTCGTCTTGACATTTCTCATGCTTATCAGGAAACAAAATTTTCACGGCGACAGTCATGCCAGACAGACTATTACGCCTTTTGCCAAAGATTGTCTTGGCAACAGTTCTCCGTTTTATTGTTGCCTTATGTACTATTCCGTATGCACCATGACCAATACATTGATCTAATTCTATGTCACTTTGCGGACAGCAATAGATTGAACCTTGTTGAATGCTTGTGTCTAACCATTCTTTGTACGAATCATCAGATGTTTCAGACATTGTTACTATTTGAATGTAATTGCAGATAAGCGGCAACGAAGCATAACTTGGTGTAACCGAGTTATCAGGCGCTGATAATCATTGTTTGATCTGTGATTGGATGTGTGGGGCGTGCAAAACGTTATATAAATTGGACCGGTCAACTAAAGCTGGTATATGTATACTGTATGTATAACTTGTTTTTTCTTAATATGGTAAGAGCGAACTTTATATTGCACGCCGATTAAAAACATAACACCATATGCAGGCAATTAACGTTACGGCGCTATTCATCAAGTAAATTAGTTTACGAGTCTACTGAATAAAAATATTCTGCGGATTGTATATCCGTAACTATAGTGTTCGTCAAGAAAAAAACTTGCTTTGGATATTGCGTTCGACATAATCTTCAAAAGCCCAACTACAGTTTGGTAGACATCGTGAAGAAGGTCAACACATACAACATAGAATGAAAACGAATACAATAATGTTAGCGTTAACTTACTACACTTAGATAAAAAAAAAACGCTTGCTTTCTAACAGTTGAAACGTTTGGTTAGGCATTGTCTGGCGAGTGTAGAGCGTTATTGTTATCTGTTATCGAAATAAAACAGCGACGCATTACAGTCCGACCGTATCAGATTCGTTGTCTAATTTGATACAACCATTCTTTTAGTGACACCTTAAAACAATAAGCATTCATCTCCGCTAACACCAATTTAAGCTATTCATTTCTGTCAGCATTGTAAAGAATTTGGGTTTTTTATATGTAATTAATTATTATAAATTGGACACGAACGTTGGAAGTTTTCGAGTTGAGCGTTACCGTCAGAAAGTTCATATCCTATATATTTGATCAATAAACTGTGAATTATTATTTTTTTAGTGTACTAGCAATAACTATAAACTTGTCAATGATTTGTTAAAACATTGAAATTACAAGAGCACGAACACTTACTATATTTCACTAATGGCTTATATAATACATGTAGTAATAGGCGCTCGCAGTAAAATTCGGTACGTTGTTTGCATACTGATAATTTTACCGCTAATAAGAGCTAACAAGCTCTACCATGATAAAGTTAGTACCAAACTGTCTTTACGTAAACATAGTTACGGATATTTACAGTGCTTACCTTTATTACAATTAGTTTGACGTTAGCAGAGTATTCTTACGATTGCAAACTTGAAAGACATAGCCTTTGTAACAGTGACATGTTTAGTACAGAGCTTTGCTTATGGTATGCAGTCTCAATTATTTATCTTTTTTGAACGCTCTCTTGCAACACATGTACAATGTTATCAAATTATTTCTCTGATATTTATTAGTTAGGCTGACAACTACCATGTAAATTTTAATATTTGTGACAACTCTTTTTTCGTATAATTGATTTTTGTTTGAGAGACTTATCACTACTAGTATTTATTTAATAAACTGCATGGCGCAAATAGTTAACGTAACTTTTACTATAATATTTTTAAACTTACGTAAGCAGCAGTTTATTAATTTTCAAGTGTTACTTCTTCCGCTGTTGTAACTTTCGTAGAGGTTTACAATTTGTCAACGATAACTCTAGAACTCGGACGTGGGTTAGTTGATCCTAAGAGCTCGATAAATATTTTGATTGTGTAGACAATTTTACGTGTTGTATATTAGTTGTAAACGTAAACATAAATATTCCAACACGTTGACATATTTATTGGAGCAAGTAAGAAACTGCATATGCCAATTAATAAATAACGACAATCGAATTTTCCCCCGCATTTTTAATGCCACCTTAATCTAACCAAATGTACGAATGGTCAACGACGTTGATAAATAATCTTCTCTTTTCTTTTAAAAGTTTCCATAGGTAGGAGTAATAAATTATTGTAAATTTATTATGACATAATTCTTAATTGAAAAGTTGATCGCTAATAACAACAAGGCAATCAGATAAAATAAAAAATAATCAATTTATTGCAACAACTTTAGCTATTATAATTAGTTAATACAGTCTAAGTCTGACATTTAAATAATATTTGGATAACTACTATACAAACTACTGGGGTACATGAACAGAATTGTGCTAATAAGATCAAATTTTCATATTTGTATCGGCAAATTGTCTACACGTCCAGGTAATTGAAGCAACACAGGGATAGCCTCCTCGTTGTTTCTCACATGAGTGTAGTCGATCTTATCAAGACTATAGAACGCGTTAAACAAATGTCCCTTGCCTTGATTTCTATAGCTGTTGACAAAAATTTCACCTTGAAAACGATCATTATTGAGTTGGCTCAGAACACCAAATTTGGCAATCGGATCTTGTCTATTTGCATAATGTTCGATGCAATGAATGAGGTTACCAGGGTTCAAGAACTCTCGAGACGCACTAGCAAACGTATATACTTCGAGTTTCTTGAGATCGTCTTGCTTTCCCGTGCGACTCAGTTCGATATATATTTTTTGAATGGCCAAATTCGCTATGATAGCGCCTTGTGAATGTGCAATTAGTCGAACCGTTGCACAATTCTTGTCTCTAAGCGCTTGAAGAATATTATACGCTGCCCAGTGTACTGATATGGTTTGGACACTGAAGCACCTCTGGAGAATGGATTCTATTAAATCCCATATAACACCATAAGACTTATTTAAAATGCCTGTAACTCCTCTACCAAAACGTTTCTCCAGATACTTGCAGTTCTCGTCCAACCATCCTTTATCTACAACCACACCGTTGATGAAAAACCATTTCTCGTCTGGGTATGAGTTTAATGCTGGTGAAGCTGGACGAGTGACGTTTCTGTCCAAAGCGTTCAACATCAGAAGCGGGTAAAATATAAAAATTGGAATTGTCATAATAGTTATCATAGCCTGATATAATGCACTAAGCCAATTTTTGCCATAAAAAAGGTCAAGTTCGCTTGTTGGTTCGTTATCGTCTGGCAATCTGTCGAAGCGTATAGCGAGTATGCTGTTGCGCAGTATGAATTCAACAACAACATCGTAAAAATGTGTCAAAAAGACCCAGGAAATGTCTTTGTTAAGCAGTACCCAAGGATTCTCCATTTTTAATTATTTCACATAAAATTATGCCTGAGCCTTAAATATTCGTACGGCTGGGCCTAATTGGAAATATAAATAACGTGTGTCCCCCCTAATGACCTAGTTTAGTCACATAAAATACGGAGAACCGACTCCTCTGAATGTAGTGCACTAATGGAAATATTGATTAACGGGCAGACTCAACCCAAAACAGAAGGACAAGCAATAACCGTCTCGTTCACAACACAACTAAAAACCTTCACTGTTTTGAATATACTGCGGTCTCGTATGTAAAACCAAAGATGTGTAGCAAATTCCGCCTTCCGCCTTTTTGTCGTTAATTTTATAAGTGCTTACTATTACTCATTTTTAATGACATAATATCCAGGTTTAATATTCTGTAACTTCCAATGCAAGCGTTACACAGATTGAACAGTACATTATCAAGTCTATTATCCGCAGTAAATCACTTACTAATGACGATTTGAAAACGTTTCAACTTGTGTGGGAAAACAATCGTTGAAATTGGTTAATGATGAGCGGGAGTCTAACAAACACTTACTATTGTGGTAGGGTTGCCTTACGTCAAAATGACGATAGCGTGCACATAATACTTTTGTTACCAGAAATGTTAATATTAATACAAACATCTATCGGACCGGAACTGCGGCTTCAGGGGTTACCGATTATTGTAATTTGTGTAATTTCTCGAGCTTGATTCAAGAAACGCAATTGACTACAATCCTATGTTTATTGCTATTGTCACAAACCTCTATGGTAAAGAATATAATTGAGGTAGTCGCTTGTATTTAATTTTGGGATTAATTGTTTGAATCAACCTACAGTAACATTGATTAGTCCAATTTATAGACTTGTGCGAAGAAGGACAATCCGATGAATTATGATGCTGACTAGAAGCTGAATGACCGGATTTGAACATTAATGAACTTGCATCTGGTCAAGCACCTCCTGACGCTTTTATTATACAAAGCGAGATCTAAAAGTGAAAAATAACATAGTTTACGGTTCAAGATTGTTCTTCAGTTACTAAATTTGTATTCGTGCTATAATTATAAAAATATTATATAATTACTACAATAGGGCGAATTTATTGAACGTTTGCCTATTCGAATTATTTTCTTGATTTTCGGTTGTTTACTGCTCACGACTGTTAATGAAGGATTACACTTCTAAACTGTTTTCCTTTAATGCATGGTTTTGGACTAGAAAAATTTGATTGGCTACTATCCGTGATTGAAAAAACCGTAATATAACAAAATTAATGGTCGTCGGAAATTTAAATTTATAATATAGATAGAATTAGCACGCACAATTTCTTAACCCATTACCCAAGCTTATACCTGGATGGGAAAGCGAGCTAATAAAAGCACCCTATTAACCCTTCTGACAAATATAATGTAAAATTACCAGAAAACCAGTTTTAATAACGATATTATGACAAGTTTTAAAATAAAAAGGCTTTCTCAAAGGTTAAAGAATGTTATGTCGTTGACAACATTGATAAAAGCATTACTTCGCACGCAAAATTTAGAAGAGGCGTGGCATCAGGTTGTGCGCATGTCAGTGTCTTAAAATTATGTAAAAAAGCTACCCTCGAGTCAATATATCGGGTCTTAAAATTTAGCTTTTTGAATAAAATCTTTGCTAATTTTGCTTTGAACTTGGATGACAATTAGTGACATTTAAATCTACGATTACGATACGTTGCTTCAGACTATTATTTAACTTCGGATGATTGTATCAAAAGTCTATCGGCTGGGAAAATATATAAAGAATTAACTAATAATCTTGATATCAAAATTTATTAGGATTGTTGTATGTTTATTCGAAATTTGTGTCCAGTCCGAATGGATACATAACTTGCTTGATAACTCATCAAGCAATAGACAATGCACAATAACATGCTGTCCTATCATTTTGTTTTTAAATCAAATCCTCTATATAGGAATAAAAATGGTAGTAAATCGGAATTGCAGATCTGTTAATTTTACACGATTCGTCCAAACTTGATTGACAAGTATTTGTGTCGCGCACCACCTTAAGCTTGGTCAATTTAACCAAGACTAGACGTAGTTGTAAGACTAGTTGTTTAACGGCTCGATGTTGTCGCAAAACAAAAGCTGCTGTCGTTTGCAACCTAACCTGCCACCTCATAATTGTCAATGTTAATAGATACATCGTTCCATACATTATGGCTAGTAGCGTTAATATCGTAATGTCAATAAAATACTTTTATAATGGTGTTACCGATTGTCTTTATGAATCCACACAGAAGCGGTGGCAATTCAATCCTAATCGTCGATGACGGTGTCGTGACGTCACACGTGGGAGAGCGATCGTGTAACCTCCTTGAGATTTAGCGTCTTCCAGCGGCGGCAATCGGCAACGCCTACTAATGCTAATTCTTCTAAAACAGTTAGTGACCTTTTAACAGGATTTGAATACTTACGAATAGTTCGTATCGTATACGTTAATCCGTTGATATTAATATCTATTTAACCTCGAGTATAATCAGCGATTATGATCCGATGGGATTAATTTCGGAAATCTATCGTTTGGAAAGGTTTTCTAAATTAACGCGTTTGTAGACAATTAAATAAATATCCTGCAAAACCGATGTTACTTGCGAACCTAGGGGCAAGATTAAGTCGCAGCTGAGAGTCCGGATTGCGGTTTCGCTACTCTCAGAATCTGGTTGAATTCAATAGAACCACAGGATTTTAACTGACAACGTATGATCAAATCACCAGTCAGAGTTTTATTAGAATACAAGAAGTATTCTATAGGACCGTTTGTATATTCGAATAATAAAGTATTACGTGGACAATCTAATAGCTGAAGATAATCTAAATGTCCGAAGATCGAATGTAAGATGATGAATGATGAAGGAAAACGGCGCGCTTAAATAACTGTTCTTGTCTAACAGAAAAGGTTCAAATTCGGTACATATTGGGAAAGTGTCGCTAATTAATAATGTTCCAATTTTACTCAGCGTCTGTTAGCCTGATATGGTGCGGTTTTGAACCTTTGCGTAACATTTCGGGGCTCGTATTACTTGGTGCCGCAGGACTGTAGATTATTGGCCGCAGAACCGAAGATTCGTGTAACTGAGCGGAAATCTCGGAGGAATACGTCACCGTTAGAGCTTATCCATGACAACGGGAGAAAGTTTTAACACTTTGTCAACGACGCGTCTTTATTACCGGTGAATAACAGAATAAATTTATATTTAAATGCGGTTTTTATTAGAATATGAAAAACTATTGTAAAATAATAAAGTACTGACTAATTCTATTTAGCTGTGTGATATTCTGATTCGTTCAAATCATTTTAATGCATTGTCTATAACAGCTTTAGAGGTCCACCTTAGTTGCGCCTAATAAAGAACATGAAATATAATGCATTGCCTACTACTACTGTTTTAGATGTAGATAGACAAGTCCTCTATTTCCCAATGTAATAGCATCATTTGGTTCAATTTCCAATGATTTGTTCAAATCATTTAAAGCATTTTCATACTGTTTTAGATTTAGATAGACAGCTCCTCTATCACTCAATGCAATGGCATTATTTGGTTCAATGTCCAATGATTTGTTCAAATCATTCAAAGCATTGTCATACTGTTTTAGATTTAGATAGACAGCTCCTCTATTTGTCAATGCAATGGCATTATTTGGTTCAATTTCCAATAATTTGTTCAAATCATTCAAAGCATTGTCATACTGTTTTATACCTGAATGGACAGCTTCTCTATTTCCCAATGCAATGGCATTATTTGGTTCAATTTCCAATAATTTGTCCAAATCATTTAAAGCATTGTCATACTGTTTTATACCTGAATGGACAGCTTCTCTATTTTCCAATGCAAAAGTACTGTGTGGTTTGACTTCCAATGATTTTTTGAAATCATTTAGGGAATTGGCATGTTGATTTATGCTTGAAGAAGTAGTTTCACTATTTCTTAATGTCACTGAGTCACTGTCAAATGACGTAGAAGCATTGTAATCATATAATGCATCACAATACTTCAATCTCTCATATACGTCCTCACACAAAGGCCGCTTATCAGGGTCATCGTCCCAACATTCTGAATACAATTTAACATATGCCTCAGGCGTTCCAGGAAATGGGGGATCGCGAGAGCCATGGCGTCTATACAAGATAATTCTAACACTTTCAATACGGCCTTCACACGGAATTTTTCCGCTAGAAATTTCCCAAAGTATCACTCCGAGGCTAAAGATATCGGATTTCTCCCGGCGTCTATATGACTCGTCCTGAAACGACATAGGATCCTTGTACGCAGGCGTGCCATCGCCATGTGATGTTGTCATTATTTGTTTCAAGACACTTGATAAACCGAAGTCGGTTATCTTTGCGACCCCCGATTGAATAAGAATATTGTAAGAAGACTGGATAAAACAAATATTTGTAAATAACCCAAACAGACTGTATGCAAGCACTCTGAACAAACGTGACAAATACCAAATCTTTGTGAACAATATCATGCGCATGTAAATGTCTCAATCCATTGGTAATTCCTAGAGCTAACTTGTGTTTGTCCTTCCAAGTTAAACCATTGAAGTGTTTCGCCAAGTGCTGACGCAAAGTTCCGCCATCGGCTAGTTCAAAAATCATATGATAGTTGTCATATTTATCTATAGGTGTTAAGAACGTGGGAAAGTAAATATCCGTGCCGTGTCAATCAACGAAACTGCCAATTACAACATACCGTTATATAGACCGATAAACCGAATTATGTTGGGGTGACTGTTCACAAGCATGTGAAGTTTTAGCTAACATACAATGTTCCATCAAATTAGTCGATGCATAATATGAATGTGACAGCATAACGACTGGTAATTAATAGCAACCTCTTTGACAAAACGTCGACGCCAATCTTCTTCACAGTTACTGTTTTCATTAGGAAACAATGTCTTCACCGCGACATTAATGCCAGGGATGTTGTGTTTCTTGCCCAAGACTGTCTTGACAATGTTTCCAAAACGACTTTCCTCTTTTATCGTCGCTTTATAAACCACTCCGTATGCTCCATGTCCAATCTGGAGAGGGTCTAGTTCGATATCACTTCCTGTACAGCAATGGATGTCACCTTCTTGAAGGCTCTTTTCAAACCATTCTTTGTAAGAATCTCTGGTGCGTTGGGACATTGTTAGTAGTGGATGTAATAAACTAAGAAAGACGGCTCAATGGTAATATGTAGCATACTTTGTAAGATGTAATACACGACGTTATTGGACAAGCAGGCTGTAGGGGTTCTATATATGTCTCAGAATTGAGTGAGTGCATAACCGTCTCTGCAAGCTCGCACTATAAAACTAGCAACAACATAGTGGTCCAAAGAATCTTCGAAGAAGTTTTTTGGCTCATCGTAACTGTTCGTATACAGAATGTGATACTTTACAATTTGCGATTGCGTCCGCCAAATCCTTTTATAGCACCATATTGCAAAATAAATCATGAAGCATCATTGACATTTGAGGAGAACCCTCCGGTCTCAAAAAACTTAATGTCATGATAATTGACACCGCCTGTCGTTGAATGCATTTCTAGAACTTATTACTGCAAGCATAAATTTATGGCATAGCTAAATAGGGTTCGCCATCTAATTTCGGTGAATATTTGTCGGTGAGATGATTGTCGGCTTCCCATTAAATATACTGTATACACGTAACAATATACATATCAGAATCTTATGTGCTAATGAAAATGTCCTTGCATTCCATTCATTGTAATCGAGTGTATCTTGCAGTGGCCGAGTGAAGAAGACGTTTAATAATGTTTGGACGTTATTAGATATCTAGAGTTGTACTTACAAGCCCAAAGCAAAGGCAGGATTGAGGGTACATTAAACGTTTATAGTCTGCGGTCAGGGTACCAGTATTCATCTTGCTCATGTCTCTACGTGATCAGTCAGTGTATTTATTATTTCCTCACGTAGCAAATTCTAGTACGAATATTGCTACAACCTTCGGAATGTGAATCGAATAGCTTGCCCCAATTGCACCTCTCATTCCCCCATAGATTAAGTCCTTCGATAGCAGTATTGACCTCTCTCATTCTTATACAGTAATATACATTAAATGTATGTTTATTATTAGTTAAATCAAGCCTTGTCTCTTTAAATCATCGTAGGTCTTCTTGTTAAATACGTTTCCTTCTTCGTCTTCAAATTCCTCCATTGTATCGGCTTTAAATTCGTCCATTTTATTTGTGCTCTTCAGTTTCTCCCATACTGCGATTGAATAGAATATTAGTTGATACGAATAGTGTTAGCAGTAATACTAATTTCAATCATCACTTACATGCGTATGCGTCTTCTATTAGTGTTATTTCGTGGAAATGTCGAGTATTCGGAATACCCAAACACCTCATTCCATGAGCATGTCGCCACTCCTGATTGAAAAATAAAACTAAGGGGGTTATCATTGAACGTAGACGAAGATTGCATAGATACCTTGTACTCACTTGAAAATGTCGATCGAATGCTTTTCGTCCCATGTAAACGTAGTTCCCACATATTTCACACGGATACTCTACGCCTAATCCATGTAATTTATATAGCCAATATGGAATCGGCTTTCCATCCCATCCAAGCGGTAACTTAAGAGGATTGTATATTTTGTCTTCATCTTCGCTCTCACTCTCAACGTCATCAACTTCTTCAGCTTCCAATTCCATCTACGAGTAGGCAAAAAGTTAATCCGATTAATGATCTTTTTCATACCCCTTCACTCGCACGCGCGCGTAATTGTACCAACTCACCCTGCGCTCTCTATCAGTCAATGCTCGTTTCCTCTCTACATTGGCTTTAGTATCTTCGCGTTGTGTTCCAAGTATCTCGGCATATTTTTGTATTAGAGCTTCGGTAAATGCAGTCAGTCTTTCTTTATTCTCTTTTTCGTCTTCAGTTTGTTTCCGTAATTTCTCCCGCGTTTCATTATCTATTTCAACAACACCTTGTTCCATCATTGCTTTAGCTGCTTTTATATGCTTCTTACTCTTCAAATGAGCGTCATACACTGTTCGCTTAGCATATGATCTCCGACCTATGGTATTAACATACGCAGAGACAGTACGTAATTGATTACTTGTGACGCTCGGTAGACAGACACTAAATGGCTAACGCTAAATAGAGAGAAACTCAAACAAAAAAAAATCAATACGTACAAGCAACGCAGAATAAATCACTTGTCAACTCGTCTTGACCGAATCGTCGTTCCCATCCTGGGAATTTGCCTTGTTGCCATCGAGCATTAAATTCATTTTCTGTTTGTTTGCGTATTTCATCTAAATTAGAGAGTGGTTTTACCCGGGCAAAGAAGCCTTCTAGGTATGCCTTTAACTCGTTTAAATACCTGTAAGCAAGTGGCGCGGGTACAAACGGAATGAATATAACAATTAAATCATACAACCAATATGCAGTCTACGAAAAGGTATTCCGAACAACCCGTTAGTAGTCTTCAACTTACTCAACATATTCGCCGTTCTTGTATTCTTTGGAATATTCAGAAAAATGATCAAATTCACTTATATAACTTAAATAATCCAACTTCTTCACTGCCTTCAAATTAACATACTTCTCATGAAGAGAATGAAGATCCAAGAACCGACCGAAGGCTTCTTCACCAGAAAACAGTTTATCAAGGTCATCATCCTCGTTGCTCTGCTTGGCTTGATTTATAAACTCCAATTCTAGCGGCTCGACTGTTTCGTTAGGATACCGTCTGTGATAATCTTTTATAGCTCTTAGTCTCGCATAAAATTCACTGAATTCTGAAGAACCAGACAAAGCATCTATTTCAGCTTTACGGGCTCTAGGTGAAATGAAAGATATCAGCATATCGACAAAGAGCAGGCAATGAAACTATCACCAAACTTACCCATCAGAATCATCGTAAAGTTCGTAGAGAAACTTACTCCGAGAACTGATCCTGTCAAGAAAATCGCTTACACGATGCTCTCTTGTTAGTCGTTCTTTGTGCTTTAAGCAGACGTAAGTTAGTACAAGTGCCAAAAGTCTTGACGTGTCGAAAACGATTATTCGTTACGTACTGATTTCGGATCTCTCATAAACTGATCTACTATGGCTTGTTCCAGTCGCTCAATCTCTTCGTGAGCTTTACGTTGTTGCTCTAAAATACTTTCCATAATGTACGATTAGCAGATCACAAATGAGGTTTTTTGGTGTCAAAAAATTTAAATATTCACTGTGGCGTAGTAGGGGTACGAATTTTGTTAGTATTAGGCGCCACTGATAGAGATGTTTCAATGTGGGAAATTAGACAGTCAATATATAACCATACTAGAGTACTTGTGACAATACGTATGGTGAGCAATTTGAAAATTACAAAGAATATTAATACAGCGTATAGGAAACAATACATTATTTCTTAACATAAGCAGGGAAAACGTGAATTTCTGCTCCATTGATTCGTTTTTATGATATTATTAACTATTTATATGCATTTTTTTCGACGCATTCTATATTTTGGCTCTAAACTTCAAACCACATTGCGTCTCGTAGGGGCACTGACTCATTAACACTTATGTTTTGTTCTTAGAAAACAGAGAAATTTAATTTGCGTAGCATCTTATAAACTCTTTATTTAGCAAATTATTTTCCAATCACTTTATTCAATGTTTTTAACTATAACATTGTTTCAGATATTTGACGCTTTTTTCACTCACAGCTGCATCGGTGTTTTCCAGCTTCTTCTCACGTTATTTTTACTCTATCTTATTAACTCTTTTATAATTCTTCTTCTCTTGATAAAGTAAACTAAGAGCTCCATACAACATTCCCAGGGTAAGTTCGTCGTTGGTAAACAATTCTTCCATCCCATTTTGGAAAACTTGCCGGGTTAAGTAAATTTTTCTAATACCAGTATATTTTGCACTTTATTTAAAATGTTATCTACAGTATTAATCAAAGTTTCTTCTTCTCGGTTCGAGTTATTTTTTATTTATTCCAAATAGTTTGAGTCCGAAGTGTTGATAGTAATAGAATTTGTTGTTGTCACGTTTAGACGAATAGAGTTATTATTATCTTTTTGAGAGAATTTATTACGTATATAGTTATTTTTAATTTCTTTTATTTAAGTTTAAAAATTAAAGCGCAATACTTATCGAAATTGGATGAAAAGCTAATAATAACGAGAAAAATTAACAAAAGTTGAAATAATGGGAAGATTTAGTTTAAATCTTTATTCGCTACCAGGCTGGACAAGTACCGTATACTACCAAAAATAAACACTCCTCGAAATGAGCATCCTCACATCATACGCACGTACAGTACATATGCTAAAAATAAGCAACTCCAAAAATTATAACATAAAGAATAAAATTTACAAATTAAAGAAATAAAAATTTGTTTAACTACTCTTTATTATCATTTATCATTGCTGAATTTTCTTATCAGAATTCGCTGTGTCGTCATTACTAACTGCTAAGTTATCTAAGGTATCCGATATATGACAATCTGGTCGAAGCTCGTGTATTTTGCGAGTAGACGTCTGGGAGGGAATAAAATACAAAAGTGATAAATTTGAGTAGTGACATAAAAATTCATTGTGTATCTCAAATAAGTAACAAGTTGGTTACTGCTGAAAGGTAAACCTCCACTTTCCTGGTGTCTTTATCTTTTGTAATAAAATATTTATATCTGTTATTCATTATTGGAAACGTTGTCGTATTATTGTTAGTTCTTAATTACGTTGATGTAAGAAAACCCCTAGTGATTAATAAGCATGTTACAGAATAATTACGACCTAAGAAGCAGGCATGGATTCGATCATTGTTTATATTATTATTCTCTGAATTAGCACACATTGTAATTTTTCGCGACTAATAAGACAAGTAGCAACGTATTCGTTTATTGATGGTCCTTTGGCATAATATTTTGGTGAGTAATAAGAAAAATGTGAGAAGTGTTCGGTTCGGAAAGACTGAATATAAGACCTTACTATTACGTATAATACAAAAAAAAGTTTGTATAGCACTGACAGTTTTACATATTCATTAGAAGGTTGATGCTCGTTCAATACAACAAAAGTTATTCTGAATCTATTATTATTGTGTATTTATCTTTATGTTAAAATGTTATTTCATCAATGAGGGATATGTTCGTTTCATAATCGCTTCATTGATCGTCTCAATAATCGTCTTGTAATCACCGGATAGCGTTATAATACTATTGTAGAATCGATGCCTCACCCGTTGTAAGCTACCAATGCGAGCGAATTAATTATTACAAAGTGTCAGCTTTCAGGCAAATTTAAATTTGTGGAGCATTGGTGGAACAACAAAATTTATTACTGTACTGTATATAGGAAAAAGTCCCCCTACTTTTCTTTCCTTACTGATCAGAATAAAAACCGCATCCATAATTACTTGATAACCAATATGGATAACCCCACCGTCCGTGTATGGTCACTTTACTGTTTTCAGAAGAATGTTCTGAGTAATTATCGCTATCAGCCTCATATTCTTCGTCTTCATCAACTTTTTCACATTCTTCATTATCCGTTTCATCGTCTTCTTCGCCATCATCTTCATCATCTGCGTCGACACCTTCTTCTTCATCTTGCTCATGAGCTTGCACATCATGTTTAACAGTTCTGCTACTTGCAGAACTCTCATCTTCTTCGTCAGTTTGTCGCCTGGCAAATTCTACTCCACGCCACATGCTAAATCTCGATGACGGGTAGGAAAAATCTTGGACTTGTTCAGTCAAGAGAGATGGACGAAAGCTTATATCCTCTCTACATACATCGTTTTCCGATTCCCACCCGTCGCTATTCCACAACTTCCTAACGCTTATTCTAATCTGCTCTTTTTCCTCTTCGCCTATCCGCCCCAAATTGACAAACACTTCTACTGCATCAATGACACAAAGCATGTCTCCTTCGTAAAGATCTTCGGTATCAATATGACTCAGATCCACTCCAACAATCTTTTCAATTGTCTCAAAAACCATCTCAATGTTCTCGATTTTCTCCTTTTTCGTGACAGGTCTGCGATGAAGATGTGGAAGTCGGCCAAAGAGCAACTCGAAAAGGGTAGGATAAAGTGAAGGCGTGCAATCAAGGAGAGACGAGAGCGAAAGAGAAAAGCGCAGGACAGAGAGGAGGTGGATTAACGAATTGAGGCAAACTTTTAACGAAGACGTTATCGAGGGGAAAGAAATGAGTTGGTTACTCGCTGTTTCCACTAAAATAGTCTGTTCTTACTTACCTTCTTCACGTTCCTTTACATATCTATTTGATAAATCCTCTTCGCTGTTGGTAAAGCTTATAGTCGAATCATAATGTGATGTGGCCGATGAACATTCACTCCGGCTTTGATACATTACTCATCATGTTGAGATCAGAAATTAATTGCAAGCGGACGTAGCTTTCATTGTGATTGGATGATTTTTTTGATAAAATTTCATTGGTCGATCAGACATTTCTGACATCCCGTTCAATACCCTCTGTGACAATAGTGACATTTACCCGAAAAAGCTATGAAAAAGCATTCATAACGGTCTGTGTACCCACGGGTTAAATCACAATACTGTTCAGCTTTTGTTGAAGGCGAAATTTCCTGTTCCAACTAATAGTAATAGAAGTATACCCGGCATTTTTAGCAATAAGTATATTAATATTAGCAAGCGAAATACCACTACTACTACTTATATAAATTATATTGTTTACTAACAAGCTGTCTATTAATGATCAAACTATAGAATTAAATATAACTGGCATTATCGTTATTACTTTGATGTAAAGTGACTGTTATTTGCGAAAGCCAAAACAATTTGAGAAACGCGTGTTGAAACATGCTGTCACTGAAGTACAATTACATAGTTATACTTAGCGTATATTAATATGTTGTATTAGTATGTAAATGCCGTAACCATGTAAATTACGCATTTACATATGTAAATGTCGTTACGGAATTTACATACGAACATATACATTGACTGTTTACACCTACTTGATGTATCAAGTAAGTATTGCTTGTCTAATTAACGCCTTTCCGTATAATCCGTCCAAGACATTACAAACTTACGGATGATTTGAGTATCTGTTTAATTAAAAATGACACTTTTCAGTAAAATTTTCTAATCCAGTAAGCTGGAAGCAAGAGAAAATATTACAGGCTGAATCAAATAATCATCCTGACTTGATAAACTTTATTGATAATTTATTTATAATAAAAACATTCTGATTTCAGTAGTAATTAATAATAAACTTTACAATTTGGCTTTGTTTTCTAGTTTGAGTAGTTTTGCTATATTTCCATATAAAAATTTATCCTTTATCTCGGAACTCAAACCTAATGCGTCCACTTGTTCCATCGTAGCTTTCCAACTGAGTTGGGGAAAATTACTACCATAACAAACTTTATCCTGTCCGTAAGTCTTCATATAGTGGACAAGTTCTGGGGGATAGTATCGAGGAAGCCAGGCGGAAGTATCAACATAAACATTAGGATGCTTCCAACAAACACTAATCATTTCGTTTGTCCAAGGATAACCGACATGACCTCCGACAATTTTCAGTTGAGGAAACGTTATCGCAACTTCATCAATATAGGGAATAGGTCTGCCTGTTTCAGAAGGACATAATGGACCCGTATGGCCAATTTGAGTGAAGAAAGGGATATCAAGTTCGATACACTTTACATAGAGAGGATAGTAATGCTTGTCGTTTGGTGGAAGATTCCACAACCACGGAACAATTCGAAGACCCTTGAAACCTAGTACGTTGACGGCTCTATCCAATTCTTTCACAGCACCAACTGGGTCAAGCAAATTGACGCTAGCTATTCCAATAAATCTGTCGGGACGCTTTTGCACCCATTCGCCTACCATGTCATTAGTGATAACCGCCCTTCCAGGTCTATACCAAGCATTTAAACATATTTTATCTACGCCAGCTTTATCTATCAGTTGAACGGTCTGTTCGATCGTGAGACCCTCCGTCGGTAAAGATGTTTTAGATAGTTGCAAGAGTCGGCCAGCCTCTGGAACATATTTCAAAAAGTTTGGGTGGGGAAGGTTGCTCCACGCATCGATGGAACCATGTTGTTTGGTAGTCATGATAGTTGGCTAATGGAATGATCTACAATCGAGGTTATTACCGAATTTTCGTTATGCCGAAGAAGGAATTCTGCCTTCCCTCATAATAATGAATTAATCGTAAAATTTTATCCCGTGATAAACCTTAGAATAGTGATTGGCTACAGCAGATGAGGATCATATGGTACAGGTCCCGAAATAAACTACTCAACTTTCAAACCCCTAAGACTTCTGTTTAGAGAAAAACTAATCTGTAAGAATGGTAGAGCATATGAAGCAGAACAAAAGTTACGGTTTAAAATTTTAACCAACTAAAAAAAATTTAGGCTTAAGTTTTTCTTAAGTTTCAAATGAAAATTTCGGAGTGCAACTTTGTGTGTAACATTTTCCATTATCCGATAAAGCGATAAGTATTGTTCTCGTGTTATTATTGGTAACATTCTTTATTGTTTTATCAATGCCTCGACCTACTGAAAGAAAAGCCGCACATAAACAAGTGTCTCGAGATAATAATAAGAGAGGCAAATTTGTTAAAAAAAATGAAACCAAGCTGATTGATACAGTATCAGGCACGATTGAATTAATAGAGACGGGATTGAGAGACGTTTCATCAGGTGGAATACGATGAGGTAATGTTGATTCGGCGACAGAACAAGATATCTGGGACAGGCTTTCAAAGGCCAATCTTTGGTTGAAGTGGAGAGCGGATACAAGTTTAGAAAAAAGCAGACGTGGTCCTTATAACATAGGGAAAACACCAAAATCGACGTATTATGATAAATGGGGGCCGAGTGGTTTATGGACAGCGGCTGCAAAGGGAGGTCCAAAATTAGAGAGGGTTTTTAACCAAGTAGCTGCAGGAAATGTTCAATAATACAAGACGTCTTATCAGATGAGGAGTTTGCTTTTGCCATCGGAGGAAATTTTCAATAAAATGGGTCACGTTTGTATTTTTTTTTCTCCCAAAATTTCATTGTGAGTTGAATTTATTGAACGTTATTAGGGAGCAGTCAAACGATATGCAAAAAATAATTGTAAATTATACATGGAGTAGATTACAAGAAACAATTCGTAGATTTGCACGAAAAACGTGGCGATATATGGAATTGTACAGACACGAAGTTACACCTAAGTTAGCAGAATATGCCGCTAAAAAAAAAATAATACACAGGAGAATCTCCGAGAATGTATGGGAAGAATTAAGTTCCCTAACAGAGATATTTTTTGTAAAACTGATTTGTTCAATCAAAATGCTATTTCTAAGTATTTTATTGAATAATTATCATGTAATTTATCGGACCGTTGGCTTTTAGATAAACGAGTACGGTATATTAAGATTTTAACTAGCCGTCATGCCAATATCTTTGATCGCATGATGTCAGTCATATTGCGTATTCCACCTGTAGTATTATGATATTCGCACGTTGTGTTCAATTATACAATTTTCGGTCGGAAGGCAATTATAAAATCGACAATTATTTCGCAGACGTAATGTTTCGCCGACAAGGTCATTTCACTGGCAGGTCATTTCATCGACAATCATTATTTTACCGGCAATCAAACATTCACCAACATTATTTCGAAATCATTCTTTTTTGGTAGTTGACTGTTGGTGAAATAATTGTCTTGTCGATGAAACGACCTGTCGGTGAAATAACCTTGTCGGTGAAATGGTTGTCGGCGAAACATTGCGTCTGCGAAATTATTGTCGATTTTATGATACGAACCCTTTTTATTTGGATACGAGTAGAGGTACATCGAAGAAGCGCGCGCACGTTAAATAAATAAATTTTAGACTCAACCGCAAAAGTAATCACCGGAATAGAGCGTGGGTTGAAGCTAATTAGAACATTCCCTTGTCGACGAGCATGCCTAGACTGCCGACCGCAACATTATGGACATTTTTAAGTGAGAATTTTTTGATACTAGCTGATGGGTTAGCCTGATTTCAGATTGGGCTAATGGACAAATTAGGCCAGAGCAAATATAACAAAAATTTACCA